TCTCCACCTCCTCCTGCATCCAGATTTCTTCCCAGAGCTTGCATCTCTCACCCCTTACCACACCCAAATCCCTCATTCCCACCCCAGAGCATACACATCCTCCTTCAACCCAGCGAGAGTAAGGCTAGACTGCAGAAGTTTTTCAGGATTCCAGAGATATCCCAGAAAAAACTCTTCTGCATCCAGGGATGCGTTTGTTCTTCCGCTTTTTTTAGTGGAAGAGCAAACGGGGGCTTCCAAAAGAAGGGTTTTTCTGACATTTGGTCCAGTCTAGACAGGCTAAATGTTGGGAAAAACTCTCCTACAGAAGAATTGTGAAAAAAAGCAGCAGTATAAGGGTTGGGGAGTGATGGAGAGGAGGAAAATAGATGAGGAAGGGACAGGGCTTCGAGGAAGGGGGGGGCTTCAAGGAAGGGGTGAGGCAGTAGATCTTGGCTTGTTCTGTCATTTAAAAAGTGATCTTGGTCATAAAAAGGTTGGAGGCCACTGCCTTAGATCCTACATTTTGGTGTATCTTTGCAAGTAAGCTCAGTTAAGAATCATCCTGAGGTTAGGTGGTTGTCTATAGGAGACTATGGGTCTGTCTCCCAGAGCCTCTCGGAGTGTAGTTTATTGATAATGTGTTGGATGGATTTAAGTTGGGGGCTATAGGTGATGACAAGTGGTGTTCTATTGTTGGTTTTCTTGGGTCTGTCTTGAAGTAAATGGTTTCTGGGTATTCGTCTGGCTCTTTCAATTTGTTTTTTTATTTCCCCTGGTGGGTAATTGAGGTTTATAAATGTTTGGTAGAGATCCTGAAGTTTCTGGTCTCTGTCAATGGGATTAATCGAATACTCTGCTGACACCATCATTGGTCATTCCAATTTTCTTCCACAATTTGATCTGAGGAAGTGGCTCTGGCCCACGAAAGCTCATCACCTAATAAACCATCTTGTTAGTCTTTAAAGTGCCGCATAGTCCTGTCTTTTGTTTCAGCAAAACCAGACTAACACAACATCTCTACTACTATTCAATCAGTCATGTTATTGTAAACTTGTTCTAAACTAGTTGTAACTACTCAGAGGCTTTGTTTACACTACAAGTTTTTGCAGCAGAAAATATGCTAACGAGGGACTCATTAGCATGAGTCACAATGTCATTAGCATATTTTCTGCTGATTCTTTTTGCACAAGGAGTTTTTGTGCAAAAAGAAGCAGTGTAGCTGCTTCCGTTTTGTGCAAAACCCCCTTTTTCCACAAGATCCTTATGCTTCTCCAGGACAGGCATAAGGATCTTGCAGAAAAAGGGTTTTTTGCACAAAACAGAAGCGGCTACACTGCTTCTTTTTGCGCAAAAGCCCCTTGCATAGAAAATCGGCAGAAAATATGCTAATGACATCGCGACTCATGCTAATGAGCAGGGCTTGCCAAGCTGCAGCGAGCCCTGCTTGCCAGCCGTGCGGTTTGGCATGTTGCGCATATGCAGACCGCGCTGTGCATGCGCTGACTGAGCTGCGTGGCCGCCATGTGTGAGTAGATTGCCTTAATTGTCAGGCCCTGATAATGAGTCCCTCATTAGCATATTTTCTGCCGCAAAAACTTGTAGACATAGTCAGAAAGTGAGCTGTATGTCACAGAATGCAGTTCACTGAAAACCTGTTTAATGCACAGTAGAAAGCAAATAAGATGTTTTTGTGCTTTAAAAAAAGACATAAAGGGACTAACACTGGAAATGGTAAGAGTATCCTGTTGATTTCTATAACAATATACTTTGAATATAATGTTTAGTTTAATCAGTCCATCCCCAGAGGCATATTGTAGAAATGGAAAAGGTCTTGAGAAGGACAAGGAAAATGTTTAGTGGCACAGAGACTTTCATATGCAGGATGATTTAAATGCTAAGAACAGACTGTGCAGAGAGGAGATGAATAAGAAATGACTTGACAGAGACTTATAAAATAATGAATGTTATAGAGAATGTAAATCAGATGTTCCTGCTACTCTCACTCTGAAACCAGACCAGTGAAATTAAGAGAGAGAGACAATGTAAAGCAATTAAAGGGAAACATATTTGCAACACTCATAATTAACCTGCACTGGTCTGTAAAAAATATTACTGAGGTGGCGAGCTTAGTAGGTACTCCGACTAGATTGGTGATCACTCTGGCCAAGACTCTATGCAATACAAAATATTCAGAATGGATGACAGACATAAAGGCTATGTCTACACTGCACTCTAAACTCAAAATAAGATACGCAATTTACACTACACAAATTGCGTACTTATTTTGAGTTTATTTTGAAATAGGCTATTTCAAAATTTGGTGCTGTCTACACAGCACCAAATTTCGAAATAAAGTGCTATTTTGAGACAGCCCTTAACCCTCGTGGAATGAGGGTTACCAAGATGTCAAAATAGCGTGCCCGTTATTTCAAAAAATATTTTGAAATAATGGGTGGCTTGTGAAGACACGGGGTAGCTATTTTGGGATACCTCTGATATCCCAAAATAACTTTGTGTAGACATACCCAAAGAAACCAAGGGGCACCACAAGCAACTATCCATTAACGGACCAACAGGCTTAAGACATATAATGTATTAATAATTATGATTCTTAGATATGGTGCAATCCTATATGTGTAGAGGAAAAACAGTCTTACAGCAGACATAGATATACATTTTATTTTATTTCAAAAAAATAGCAAATGTATTAAGAACACAAACCAGAAAGTTATTAAAAGCTTCATAGCAAAATATTTAGCCAACTCTGTTACAATATATAGGCTTGAGGTTCTAACAAGTAACACTATGCCTCAATTCACTGAGCAAGTAATGCTCTTGACACAAACATTTCACTGTTAAAATATGGAGCTGGAAATTAAAAAAGAAACATTTCTGTCTTTCATCTTTCATGGTCAATTGAAGTATAACAACATTCTAACTTTTGATTCTTTTGGGGAAAGCCTTTATTTAAAAAAAACAATTCCTGAGTATTTAGGTTAAGTGAAAATATCAAACACCTGGTAAAGATGACCAGTTAAGGCCCCAATACTGTTTGGTGAATGGTGGAAGGAGTTCTCAAGTGTGGTTGTCATGGCAGGATTAAGGCCTAAATGGCCTAATGGGATATATGAAAACTTTCTAGTAGGCTCATTCATGTTAATTTCCTTAGCCTACAACTAAGACTATGAAGCTTGCTTTTCTGATAGAAACCTTTTTGTCTTAAACATTATTTGCAAAAGCTTTCAATGCAATGTATCACAGCTAAACCTCCGCTATAATTATGCAAAATATACAAATTTAAATTTAGCCAATGGGGATTTTACATTATCAATAGTGAAAATATTGAATTGTATAGTTTGTTTCAATTTTTTCAAACACAGCAACCCTATTATTTTAGTTTTTGGTATTGTAACACTCTATATAGTATATGTATATATTATTCTCTTCTGATTTTTGTCACAATATCAATACTGTACATCGTAATGCTAGCATCCTGTTATTCATCATGTTCACATCTTTAAATTAATTTTGTACATCTTATTTGTAAAGCTGTTGCCAATTAGTGCACTTTGGATAACTAACCCCAGAAAAATTTGCAAATTTCTAAGCCATGGCTATTCTACATATGATTTTCTTGAATTGCAGTACTAAATTATAGCGGATATAGAAAGGTTATCACATAAAGCATAGTTAACTAGAATTTACAACACTGGTATTCAACTTGACCATTTACAGTGAGTTCACAAAAATGGTTTTAATTTTCCCAGTTTCCTTCTACCCTCCCACCCCAATATGTAAACACAATGACATTCTAGGATTGCAGTTATCAAGTTGTATTATATGTAAAAGACAATATCTAGAATATGTGTTTGGATCTGGCAATACCAGTAGACACTGCTATTCACTTTCCATCCTAGACTGGAAGCATCATTGTTAGAATGTTGCAATCATTAAGAAACTGAAACTAGAAGCTTATGGGATCTCCCATTTTGATGCAGGTTTCTTGACTTATAGTGATGAACGATCACGTGCTTATATAAAAACAAAAGAGCAATGGATTGAGAAAATGGCACGAACATATATTTGGGTGATGATAAGGAACAGTATTGCAGTTGTGTGTTATTAGTACATGAAACTCTTGGCATTACAGAGATGATGAGCTCGTTTCACACAAGCCAATCTGAATGTGACATAAGCATTTGGTAAAAACAGGCTTGTGCCAGTTCCCCTGGAAAAAAACACTTGTCAAAATATTTTTAAAATACTGTATGATATCTCATAAATTGTAATTTAAATATTAAAATCTTGTTTCAGATGTTCCCCGCTTTAGGTTGTTACTCAAAAACTCATCATGTTCAAAACTCAAATTATTATGAGATCTTGATATCATAAGCAGCTTTTCCTTATTAGTAAAGTCCTTCTTAACTGTGGCTTGTGGCACAAGCAACCTATCCATTGGGTCCTCTTTGTTTTCTAGTTTCATGTATCCTTTACTGTTGTTTCGATCCAATCTGGGCCAGCTGGGGTGTTTTCTTTGTTCAGCTTGGACAGTGAGTGTAGAAGGACCCCTGTCTAAATCCAAGGACTTTGAATGTGCAGAGAGAAGATGCAAAGATGCATTGGACCCAAATTGTTTTCTGGCAGCACCCGGTGATAAAAGTTTTCCAGTGCTTGGACCAAGAGTCATAGAAGACTTGAACTGACTGGATGGAGATTCTAGAAATGAATTATTTCGGGATAGCATTGCACCAGCAGGTTTGCAGGATTCATTGCTGTCAGTTAATGGAATGGCTAGACAATCCATTGATAAATTTCTAGACCGGCTTCTTGTGATTGCTGAATCCTCAGTGATATTGTCTATACTAGGTTCATCAATAACACAGTTATTTAGTTTAATTACAGGCAGTGTGAAAGCACTAATAGAGGATGATACAATTGACTTTGTTTCACACTTTATAGAGCTACTACTTTTGTCATCCATTGCCTTGCTAGTGTGAGGGTAAAGTCCAAAGACAGAGCCGGAATGCTCAGTCAGCAAAGGTGGTAGAAGGTTAGAAGTGTTCTTGTCTTCATTTATGGCAATTTCATCTTCTTCAGCTGAACTATCCATTCGAAAGTTACTCCTGAAGCCAGAGAAAGGTGCAATTGTGTTTGCAGCCAACCGTGATGCACATGAGTTCCCGCTATGCTTCAGTTCACTTTCCCCCAGTAAACCAGTATAAGCGCCATTCAGCTGCTTTTGTTCCTTGATTCTCAGACTGTGGATGTCTATTACAGTGGAATATATGTCTCTCATATGTATGATTTTTGTTTCCTTGTCACGATTTTCATGTAGGATGGCATTTGCACAAATAAAAATAAAGATTCCAATGCCCATAGTAAAAGGGCCCAACATTTTCATCTTATCTGAGTGTAAATGTTGTTCAAAGAAACGAAATATAACTCCACCATGATTTGTAATGACCTGGGTTTCATTTAAAGCTAAACTAGCTTCAGAACCTAAAAACGGTTCCTTTTGTGGCCAGTATCCAAGGATAGCCATTGCAATTCCCATGAATGCAATGAGCACTCCCAAAACAAGAAAAAATCCTGACGGGGAATAAAGTCGGATTTTGCCTCTGACAATTACGACATCAGCTCTGGGCCGGCGTCTGACTGGCTTTTTCTCTTCAGAAGTTGCTGATGTGGCAAGATTTAAGTGATGCTGAGATCTGGCAGAGTCTTGCCTCTTTAAGGCTGCCAGTCCTGTTATAACTCCACCAGTTGCTATCATAGTTCTATATTCTGCCCTAGAAAAGAAAACAGAAATACTAATATCAGTAATTTCAATATAATACACACATACATGTGTTAATCATTCACTTTTTTATTCAAATAAATATTACTTTTCAAAGACTTTGCATTTTAACAGCTCTTCATAAATGGCAACTTTCAGATGTACATGGCATTTTGGAAAACTAACTTTTTTTGAGCACAGTAAAGCTACGTACTATCTGTGGCCTAAATGATAGAGATATAGTGGAAAACTAAAAAGATAGCTCAAGCTGAATTATCAGGAGTATATAAAATGAAATTATTGAAAATGCTCAGTATATGGTATCATTCAAAACTGATCTCAAACAAAGCCAACAACATTATCTTATACTTTTCATATGGGTGTTAGACAATCTTGAAGTTTTAGCTTACAAAGCTTGTATGAATATTGGTCTGAATATTATCTTTAGAGCAAAGGCTTTACTATAGATGTTAGTGTGGTTTAAAAAAATACATTCAATTATTACAACCGCTACATTATTACACTGATTAAAATTAATTTTTAATTCTTAATTATAGGATAACTTTTTTCTTTTCCTAATAGTGCTTGCCTTTTCCATATGGCAATCATAAGAGTTTTTTTGTTTTCTTTGATTTCTCATGAAACACAAGACACCATGGTTCAGCTTTGTTTACTTCCTTCTGGATTAGCATTATCTAGTTGACTGAAGTAGTTTTTTCCCCTTGGGTTCACCTGAATGCCTGGATTTCTATAAATGGAGTGGGAAATTTCAACAAATCCTGTTTTAAAAAACTACCAGGAGGGATGTGCACAGCTGTAGAAATACTGCTTGTCTGATCATTACATTTGAGAGTGGCCAAGAAAAAAACAGTTAATAAAACTTCATTATATCTTCCAGAATGCTTCCAATGATTAAATAATACATTAATAAATGTTACAAATAAGAGTCAGCATGTGCAATTGAAGGATACAAGCCAGGGCAAAGAAATGGTGCTCAGGTGAAAAGGAAACCTGATTTGGTTGAAATACATATGAAGGTTGTTTTAAATGGCTGTAGAAGAAAAGGTTCTTGCTCTAAAGCCTTGTTTCCACTTACCGGGGGATCGACGCTCTATCGATTGATCTTCCAGGGTTTGATTTACCAGGTCTAGTAAAGACCCACTAAACTGAACGCTGAGGGTGCTCCCTTCGATAGTGGTGCTCTTTTGACAGGAGCATTTCTCCCATCGACCTCCCGCTGGAGGCCACCCCAGAAAATTGATGCAAGGTACATCAACTCCAACTACGCAATTCACGTAACAGGAGTTGCATATCTTGCATTGATTTTCTCTGCCAGTGTGGACCTGGCTTAAGAGTGATAAGATTTGTAAATAGACAAAGCGAAAGCTGAGTAAGAGAGGGGAATAAAGAGAAACAAGATCTGTGATTTACAGAACCGTAGACCCACGGGCTTAGAAGGGATCATAAAGGATCAACTAGTCCAAATCCCACCATCCCTGCCAAAGTGCAGGATTTGTCTGTTGCTAAACCATAGAAAACAGATGGTTTTAAAGCTACATTTTAAACCCTCGAATGAAGGAGCTTCCACAACCTCCCTAGACAGTCTGTTCCATTGTCTTGTTCTTACAGTTAGGAAGATCTTCCCAAGGTTTAATCTAAATATTATAGTGGCTTTTCAATACAAGAGGGCAGGTTCTGAAATACAAGAGGGCTTTTCAATACAAGAGGGCAGACTTCTTTGAAAATTCCTACCACTGTAATTAAACTGGAACTGTATTTCTGTGTTGTTTTGGTAACTTAAATGTGTTATTGCCATTTGGTCTCTTGCATGCTTCAGATAAGACACATTCTAAAAATGTCATTTTAAAAACTCCAGAATGGAGACTAAAAATAACTGAATGTTTAAGATTCAGATTTTTTTAAAGATAAATGAAAACAAAATTTGCCCATACACATATGTGCTTACGAGGTTTGTGCCAAAACACAATCAAACATCAAGATGACTCTTCTCTATTTTTGTAAAACATTGTTTTGGATTTCAGACAAAAATAAACAGGACCCATTCCGTGACAAATGTTTTCTTTTGCTAGTGTTCAATTTAAATATGATTAGTTTTTTATACAGTAAATGAAGAGAAGCCTGTCATAACAGTACTAATACTGACATAGAACTGACCCCGGCATGTTAGTATATTATTCTTATCCAGGTCCCAGGCATTTAGGATGCAATTTTTTATAAATACATAAATTCAGGAACACAAGTCCCATGTTTCCTTTGTGCGCACAGTCATTTAGGAGCTCCTGAAAATCATTTATCAAAAATGCTTCTGATGTATAGATATCACAAAGATTGCAAAAGTGTATACTGTTCATTATTAATTGTTCAGCGCTAGATTAGCTGATGGAAAGAGAGACATTCTAAGTACCTGATTCTGTATTTTTCTTTAAGGTCAGATTACTCATTGTCCCTCTGAGAAAATCTATAGAGGGAGCGGGCTGCAAGACTAGAAAAGTCTGGGAATTCAGCGTGAGTAACAGTTGTAAACAAAGACAACATTCCCTGATCCTTCATATCTTCTGACCTCACTGTAGAATTACTTCCCTTAAATTCAAGGCCAGAGAAATCTTTCTCCCCCTTCTGTCCCCCTCCACCAGGTTTATAAAGCAAATAAGCTACTGGGCTGGCAAAGATTTAAGCTTCACCTTGGTGCTAGCAGAAATACCTAAATTCCAATCTCACTTATCTCCATGCAAATCTGGAGTAACTACACAGAAATCAATGCAATCATTATGGACTTAGATTGACAGGAGATCAAAATCTGTCTTTATTAGAAAGAAGAGCAAAGAAACATTACATGGAAATGCTCCAATACATTGCACCTTTGTTTATGGCTCAAAGTTTTATCTATTTATTAAGATGTAAGCATTTTTACATTTGGAAGCTTTTTACAAACTGTTTTACATTCATGTTAAAGAGGAACTATAGATGCATAGGAGTTATCTCTATATTTAGTTTGACGGAAAAGACATTATCTCTGAATACACACATCTGAGCAAGCAAATCTTAGGAGATTTTTTGACTCAGAGCTGAAGTGAAGTACGTTATAAGTTTCAGTTCAATCTGTTAGTTTGATGGCATTCTGAGTGACATTACTGTCCTGCTATAAAACAGATCAAAGAATGGATACACTGGGTATGGTAGAGAAAAAGAATGGCATGTTTTATTAAATTATTATTATTATTAATGTATTGCCATAGTACCTAGGCATGGTACAAACAGAACAAAAAGATGGTCCCTGTTCCAAGAAACTTACAATCTAAATATCACACAAGAAACAAAAGGTGGCTACAGAGAAAGAGTTACAGGAAAGCAATGAGCCAATAATGTTTAGCACGATGTGCTGTGACCATTGCCTATTTTTGGCCTAATTCATTTTATAAACCATAACATCTTCAATGGAAAGAAATCTGACAAGGGCTGAGGATGAGCTGTAAAGGCATGCAGGGCAGTAAGGACCCTCGGGAGAATAAGTTGTCCTTTTGGGAGAAGACTGCTAGTAAGGCCTGGTCTCAGAGCAGTGAGCCCTGAATGATAAGATACAGGATTGGACATGTCTAGATAATACTTAGTCCTGCCATGAGTGCCGAGGACTGAACTAGATGACCTCTCATGGTCATTTACACTCCTACAATTCTATGTTCGAAATTAAATCGAAAGAACACGGCTTTTCTTTCGACGACGGAAAACCTCATTTCACGAGGAAGAACGCCTTTTTTCGAAAGTGCTCTTTCGAAAAAAGGAGTTCTTGAATGCAAACAGGGCTTTTTCGAAAGAGAGCATCCAGACTGCCTGGGTGCTTTCTTTCGAAAAAGAGTCTTGCTTTTTCGAAAGTATTGCTTGCAGTCTAGACGCTCTTTTTTGAAAGAGGCTTGCAGTCTAGACGTAGCCTAAGTCTGTGTGCTAGGAAGCAGGTGAAAGAAATTGCTTGGGGGGGGGGGTCAAAGTAGTAGTATAGGTGTGTAGTGTGGGTTTGCATCTGTTTATTGTATACAGAGGTTGGGAGGAAGTCTCTCAATTCACTTCCCTGCATCAAGTATGGGGGAAAGTTGCTTAGACACTTGAGGGAGGGTTGTGGCACAGACAGGAACCAGAGTGAGCAAGAGAAAGAAAGGAAGAGCGAGGAGAAGCCAGTTTGTTGAGGATTGCCACTTGATGTTTGTTTACCCCCAGGCAGAGTGGAGTTCTTAGTTAGACGGCTAAATTAATCTACCTACAGGCTAATGGGAAAACTGCAATTGCACCCAATTATAGATAGGTAAGCCCCAGACATACAGCTAGAGTCAGAAAATGTAATTTAGTACAGCTTCCGAAACAACATATAGCAAACCTTTGCCCAAAAAAGCTCACGATACTATATACATACATATATATATTATATATATTGCTAGTGTCTAAGGTGCTAAAGGACTAATTGTTGTTTTTAAAATTACAGATTAACACAGCTACTCCTCTGAGACTCTTCCCTTCCATCAGTCACAAAGCTGATGTGTTCTGAGATGAATTCCAGGTATTAAAATCCACCTGCCTCTCCATCTTTGTTTTATAAAAATACATTTCTAGTCTAAATTGCTGCATTATACCAGTTAAGTTTGTATTTTATTGACAGCCTAGTCTCTAAAGAGGCAACAGCCTAAATGCCCTGAGAACCATGGTGGCAGTCAGCCCTACTGGATAAATGTAGATATACAGTATAATATGAGTGTCTATCCTCAAGGTAGAAAAGTTCATTATACACAGTTCTGGAAAGATTATTGTGTGTATGAACACACACACAAAGCTATGTGAGGGTACAATATATGTCACAGAACAGAAACAAATCCAAGTGAGAAAATAAAAATGTCAAGAAACTTTATGGTACATGAGACAATGCTGCTTTACAAGGGGACATATTAACACACCAGCTGTATTGTTTGAAAAGGAAAAAAAGAATAAAAATGGCATGTACATATACGAAAATTAAACCCAACGGCTACGTCTACATTGGCATGATCTTGAGCAAATACTCTTTAATGCAAGCGTTCTTGCGTTAAAGTATTTGCGCAAGAAAGCGTCTACACTGGCATGTGCCTTTGCACAAGAGATGTGCTTTTGTGCAAGAGCATCCGTGCCAGTGTAGACGCTCTCTTGCGCAAGAATGCTCCAATGGCCATTTCAACCATCGGGCTTTCTTGCACAAGAAATTCATGTTGTCTGTCTACACTGGCCTCTTGCGCAAGAACAGTTGCGCAAGGGGGCTTATTCCTGAGCGGGAGCATCATAGTTCTTGCGCAAGAAGCACTTATTTCACACATTAGACCATCAGTGTTCTTGCGCAAGAACTCCCCGCCAGTGTAGACAGGTAGCATGTTTTTGCGCAAAAGCGGCCACTTTGGCGCAATATCGCGCCAATGAAGACACAGCCAACGGGGTTAGAATTTCTTGTTCTTGCTTATAATTGATTGAATTTTCTATTTTATTTGAGATCTGGCTATGTAATTTCTACTGTTTACTCATAATGGGTAGTACTCTACTTAAGCTAAATCAAAGTAAAGTGGCAGAATCTGGCCCTACTATTGTGATCAGAAGCAGGTATTAATTATTTGCCCAAATCTCTGTACTGAATATACCACTTTATTCATTGTTGTTCATTCCAATTTCTAGAAATTGGAAAAGAATCCATGGCAAACTACATTGCTAGATGAAACAGATATGGATTTTTTCATCTTTTTTTAATGTCATAAGCTATATCTGCTTGTGATACAACTGAAAAAAAATCTGAGTTGAAAACAAATCACTTTAGGAGCTCATTCTAATTTAAACTGTGTACTGGGTTTGTACATATTTATATGCATTTCTCTTTGTTCTGCTTTTGTCTACTAGAGCAGTGGTAGGGAACCTTTTTTGAGTCAGGGTTCACAGACCCACAAAAAATCAGTTGGGGGTCACACACAAGTGATAAGAACCAGGCTCAAGGCTCCCATGGCCAGATTAACTCTTCTGAGGGTGTGGGGCTAGTTGATTCTGTGGGGTCCCCTAGATTCTGCGGTGGGGCCAAAAATGAGGGGTTCAGCATGTAGGGCGAAGCTGCTTGGGAGCAGGCTGGAGGTGTAGAGTCTGGGCAGGAGGTAGGGTGCAGGAGTGAGCTGAGAGGGAGCGAGATCTGGGTAGAAGGAGGCAGCAGATGGGAGCACCAGGGTGCAGCTCTGGCACACGTGGTGCCATGTGGCCCTGGACTTGCATCTCTTTCTCTCTCTCATGCACACACATACACACAGCCTCTCCCCCCCACAGCCCGTTATACAAGAGTACAATATATGTCACAGAACAGAAACAAATTCAAGGAGCTACAGGAAGAGTGAGAAAATAAAAAGGGCAAGAGACACTATAGTGACCGGGGTGGAACACGCAAGCAAGAGCAGGGACCAAGCTTCCCTGTGCTGTTGTTCCCAAGGCAGCTTCCTCCCCTTGCCAGGTAGAGCCCCGGGGCCAGATGCAGCCCCTGGATTGCATTGACCTGGCCTGCGAGGACTGGCGCTCCTCCCACCTGCAGCACTGTGATCCTGGACTGGCACTCCAGTGATGCAGAGGGGCACCAAGCCTCAGACCTGATGCACAGATCACAGGTTCCTCATTTCTGTTCTAGAGATTGCGAAATGAGTAAGGAGCTTCTTCCAGAATTAGAAGAACGAGACCGGAAAAGAATTCTGTAGCTCAGTATCTCTAAACTTAAAATCCCAAATGTACAAAACAAATGGGAATTCAGACTGAAGCTTACATGGTGCAGATCAGAGTAGAGATTTGACATGAACCATAAGACATTCAATATATATTTCAAAGGACTCTGACACTTCTGAAGTGTAGAATGGGGAGGTTCAGAATAGAAGACGTACTCTCTGTGGTCCACAGCAAAGAAGAGATTTGTGTGGCTTGGCATATGAGATAGGGCACAAAGTCAGTTTGTGGTAAACACTCTGGGGCTTAGTGTGCCAGAAGATGGATAAATGCAATTTTCCTCTGAAAACTAAACGAACAATGCCCAAAACACTCAGAAATAATTTAGTTTATAAATACTGGGCTTATTTACTTGATCCCTTAATCCTTGTCCCATTGACTTCTGTACACTGATCTATTGTTAAACATATAAGGAGGTGTATTTAAGCCACAAACATTTGTGGTGCATCTAAACTAACATTTAGTCATGTGAGCTAATTCAAATTAACTGGCAATCTTTTAACGTGAGCTGAAAAGAGGAAAACCTAGTATAAACAGTGCAGACAATGTCATGATGTAAAACACAACATGTCCTTGTCTATACTGAATACTAAATTAATGTTAATTAACACAGTCTTAACAAAATATCATTTCCCAAAGAAATACTCGGTGACAGACTGAGAATAACAGGCACAAAATTCTCCAGTGAAGAGATCCAAAGGGAGGATAAAGGAGTGTATGTGGACAGATGTGAAACTGAAGTCAGCATAAACTGTGATACCTTAGGGCTTGTCTCTACTATGCTGGAGATTGATGCTGCTGCGATCGATCCACTGGCTATCAATTTATTGTGTCTGCTTAGGCACGATACATTGGTCTCTGAACATTCTCCCATGGACACCAGTAATCCACTAGGCTGAGAAGAGTAACTGGCGTAGATGGGAGAGCAGCTCCTGTCGACCTTCCCACACACAAGACACCGTGGTAAGTACATCGACTTCACCTATGCTTTTTCTGACAGCAGTAATCCTCTTTCTACGAGGAAGGAAGCAAACTAGGGAAGACCTGCTGCGGGATCAGATGACCTGCCTTCAATCCCTCATCCTGGGGTCTAATGTGGAGTGCTGGGAGCAGGCCGCCGCCAACAACAAGGAGTGCTGGGCTGACTGGTAGCAGCAGAAGACCATGTGGGGCCAGCACGAGGCCATGTGCTCCTCCCTCACCCCTGTGATGCAGCGCATGGCCATGTACATAGAGTGGGCTACCAGCCACCTCCCCGTCCCTGCCCCCCAACTCCCAGCCCCCGCCCCTCCAAACCCTTGCACCTGCCTCCCTGGCTTCTCCTGCTAGCCTCTCCCCCCCAGGGGCCTCCGGGGCCCCCAAACATGTGGCTATGGGACCTCTCAGGCAGCTGAAGCCTCCCGAGCTACCCGAGGAAGGCACCAGTTGCACCCCATCCCTGAGCCCCCCTTTCCCCTCCTCTCCACTTTTCCATTTCAGGTTCTTTTCCCCAGTTCCCTCTCCTATTGTATATCCCCTACATTAAAAAGATCAGAATTGTGTTTATAAAACAAGAGGGTTTTTCATATGCTCTGGAGAGGAGGAGGAAGATGGGAACGGAGGGCAGGGGGAGGGAAGGCACACAGGAGCAATGCAGGGACTCCTTTTGGAGAGGCCCAGGGGAGCCTGTACTGTACATAATTGGCTGGATAACCGTAGTCAGAGAGTTGTTGTTAACGGTTCTAAATCCTGCTGGAAAGGGATAACAAGTGGAGTTCCTCAAGGGTCTGTTTTGGGACCCGTACTGTTCAATATCTTCATCAATGATGTAGATATTGGGATAGAGAGTACTCTTATTAAGTTTGCAGATGATACCAAACTGGGTGGGGTTGCAACTTCTTTGGAGGATAGGGACATAATTCAAAATGACCTTAGCAAGTTAGAGAAATGGTCAGAGGTAAACAGGATGAGGTTTAATAAGGAGAAATGCAGAGTGCTCCACTTAGGAAGGAACAATCAGTTCCATACATACAAGATGGGAAGCGACTGTCTAGGAAGGAGCATGGCGGAAAGGGATCTAGGGGTCATAGTGGACCACAAGTTGAATATGAGTCAACAGTGTGATGCTGTTGCAAAAAAAGCAAATATGATTCTAGGTTGTATTAACAGGTGTGTTGTAAGCAAAACTCGTGAAGTCATTCTGCCGCTCTACTCTGCGCTAGTTAGGCCTCAGCTGGAGTACTGTGTCCAGTTCTGGGCGCCACATTTCAAGAAAGATGTGGAGAAATTGGAAAGGGTACAGAGAAGAGCGACAAGAATGATTAAAGGTCTAGAGAAGCCTATGAAGCCAGGCTTCATGAACTGGGCTTGTTTAGTTTGGAAAAACGAAGATTAAGGGGGGACATGATAGTGGTTTTCAAATATCTAAAAGGGTGTCACAAGGAGGAAGGAGAAAATTTGTTTCTCTTGGTTTCTGAGGACAGGACAAGGAGTAATGGGCTTAAAGTGCAGCAGGGGAGGTTTAGATTGGACATTAGGAAAACATTCCTAACTGTCAGGGTGGTCAAATATTGGAATAAATTGCCAAGGGAGGTGGTGGAATCTCCCTCTCTGGAGATATTTAAGAACAGGTTAGATAGACATCTGTCAGGGATGGTGTAGGTGGAGCTTGGTCCTGCCTTGAGGGCGGGGGGCTGGACTCGATGACCTCTTGAGGTCCCTTCCAGTCCTGTTATTCTATGATTCTATGAGAGCCTCATACGTGGCCTTGGCTGAAATTCTCCCTCAAGACCTCTCAGATGAGCACGGCAGCCTGATGTTGCTCTTCTGAGGGCACTGGTGTCCAGCTGCTCGGTTGCCCTGGCCAGTCATTCAACCTCTGCCAGTCCATCCTGGCAGGAAAGTCTCCCCCTTGTTTTCACAAAGGTTGTGGAGCACACAACATGCTGCTATCATGTAAGGGAAATTGCAGCTGCTGAGGTCCAGGTGGATGAGGAGATGCCTAAACTTCCCCTTCAGGCAGCGGATGGCACACTCCACCACCAGGCAGCACCTGCTGAGCCTGGCACTGAAGTTCTTCTTGGTGGGGTCCAGGCTGCCAGTGTAGGGTTTCATAAGCCAGGGGAGCAAGGGATAGGCTACATCACCCAGGATGCACATAGGCATGTCCATGTCGCCGACCCTGATGGTGCAGTCAGGGAAAAAAGTGCCAGTGTGTATCTTCTGGAGCAGGCTTGAGTTCTGGATGATGTGGGTGTTGTGCGTCTTTCCTGACCAGCCGATATTAATGTCCATGTGGTCCTGCAGCACCATTAATAAGTACAACTTTCTGTTGATATACTCCAAGGTACGATGCCAGGGATGTGTGTGCCATCTATGGTCCCGTTGCAGTTGGAGAAGTCAGTAGTGGCAAAGCCATACACAATTGTGTCAGTGTTCCCCCGAGTGATGACCTTCCACAGCAACATGGTGTTGATGGCCTTGACTACCTGCAGGAGCATGGCCCCAACCGTGGATTTCCCCATGAAATCCCCATGAAGTGGTAGCTGTCCAGTGTGTTGAGCTTCCATAGGGCAATGGTGACACGCTTGTGCAGGGGGATGGCAGGGTGCAGTCGAATGTCCTGTCACCTGAAAGCAGGGGTGAGCTACTTGCAGAGCTCCAGGAAGGAGGCCTTCCACATGTGGAAGTTCTGGAGCCAATGCTGGTCATCCCATCGCTGCAGGATGATGCAGTCCCACCAGTCCGAACTGGTCTCCCTCTGCCAGAAGTGGCATTCCCTGGTGGGCAGGGGACTGAGGATTATTTGCTGCAGCAGAAGCACCAGGACCTAGGTGAAGGGGTCCTGTGGTTCAGGCTGGTCATCATCGTCCTTAAGCAGCACATGGGCAGTCTGGATGAACTGCACCATGAGGTGCACCACAAGGTGCACTACAAGGCTGTAGAGAGAAGCCCCTGGAAGCACATGTCTCAGCTAGCTTCAGCAAGCAGCTACAGGAAGTCTCCTGGTACCCTCCCCGGTGTGCTTCCAGGGGCTTTAAATCGAATTCAGGCTCCAATCAGTGTGGATGCTCTACTTTGAAATAATTCTGAGCTACTTCGATGGCATGTCTACACTGCATGGCTATTTCAGGATACTGAGGTATCCCAAAAGAGCTACCCTGCATTTACATAAGCTGCCTGCTACTGTGACATATTTTTCGAAATAACTTGCGTGCTATTTCACCATCCTGGCAAATCTCATTGCACGGAGGCTATGGGATGGCTCAAATAGCTGTGTAGACGTGCCAAATTTCAAAATAAGCTATTTCGAAATAGATACGAAATAAGATACACAATTTGCGTAGTGCAAATTGCATACTTTATTTCAAGTTCAGGTGCTATGTAGATACACCCATGTAGAGTGGACGTGTTATTTCAAAATTATTATTTTGGAAGTTATTTCTAAATAAGTTATTTTGAAATAATTTCCTACTGTAGACATGCCCAGAAAGCCCTCCCTCTGCCATTCTTCATTCCCTACATCAAATACCGATTTCCCTTCCTCCATCTCAAACAGTCGTCCTTTGCTGCCACCACCTACCCCCTTACCTAGTTTACTATGGAGTACCCAGTATTCCCTAGCACTCCCTGAGACCTAACCCCCTGTCCACTATGCACTCAGGACTAAATTTCAAATGCCTGTTTCTCACTCTAGTTCTGTCCCTATGTGTAATCATTCTAAAACAAAGCAAAGTTGTTGTTGCTTGGCTGTGCAGCTATTAATCACAATGCTCTTGCTCTGCTATTTGTGGATAATGTATCACATCACAGTCAAAATCAGCACCAGTCATACCAGTCACTACTGCTATCGACAGGTTTCCTGCTAAAGAGTTTGTAGAACCGTAGGCCACCAGGCCTAAGAAAAATGAGAATGTCCATAATATGTGAAGAGTGATAAATAGAATATAGTATAGGCTAATGAATTGAGGCACCAGTTAGAGACCTAATAATGGATGTCTCTCAGTATGTATTTAGCTGAAAATGGAAGCTCTTCTTTTATAGAGTCTGGTTTTATGCATCTCATAAATTAGAACAGTAGGTGGTCTGTGGATAGGACCTTAACCTGGTTCAGAACAGATGTTGGCATTGATCGGTAGTACATAAAGCTTTCGTCTAGTATGGGTCGCTTGCTATGTCAGATTTTATTAATGCCTATCATAGGTTAAAATTTATTTTATTTTTATTTGTAAAGTTCTTTTTTAAGCTATTGGGGACCCACTTCTACCAAAGGGTAGTATCTGGCCCTGTGTTGTTAATAAGTTATCTTATCTTGGTCGTGAATCTGATTACTCTCAGTTAGAAAGATGTCCATCAATTATTTTCATTAATAGAAAATGCTCCTTATTTATATCAGTTTACTGTAAAAATCAGAATGAGAGACCTAAGATACAGATAATTCATTTGTGTAGAAATTAAAAATGAAAAGAATACGAACTTAAACTATTCGGGAAATCTGATTAAAAGCTTGTGGATTGTGATAGTTGCATAACCAACCCAGAGATGATTTCAGTAAGATGTTAAAAGGCCACATGAAAGAGAATCTAGAGTTATTTTTCAATTTAGTCTAAAATTTATATAATATGTTTCTTGCTTTAGGGTCTCTTCAGACAACTACAGAGAATTGCTGGTATTAGTCAGTTTGCAATCTCTAAATCGTTAACTCAATTTCTTGATATAATGTTCAGGAGAAAAGAAGGTCAATAAACCTGCCTCTGCAGACTATGAAGCACCAGCGGATGAGTGTGGAGTTTTTCTAGTCTAAGAAAATGTTCCTGGATTGTCAGCTGTGTGTGGGAATGCTGAGTGAAGAAGTTGGGAAAGCGGGAGAAATATTGGAGAGAGGGGAGAGCAGACATAACTATTAAGAGATTGGAGATCAACATTCAAATGACCACAGAGAATACATTGCAATAAAATAACTGGTTGCTCATACCCATTGGCCCAGACTCATGGGGTTCAGGTTGTGGAGCTATAAAACTGTAGTGTAGACTTTAGTGCTCTGGCTAGGTTCTCAGAAAACCCAACTGCAGTTTTATAGACATGAAAACATCCACCCAGGCCAAACACCTTTGCTGCAGTTTTATAGGCCTGCAGCCTTAGAGTATCTCTAAACTACATCCCCTTTTTGATAAAGGGATGTAAATTAGACATATTGAAATTGTAAATGAAGCCGGGATTTGAATTTCAGGGATAAAGGATCTTTCGAAACGGGGCATTTCTGTCGAAAGATCCCCATCTTGACCGTGAGTTTTTGCTGCTTTTTGGGGGGAAAAGGAAAAAAAAAAGGCAGCAGCACAGGGTGGCAGGAGGGAGCTGATCTTCCGAGGAAGCCGGTTTAAAAACCAGTCCCCTGCACAGACCGGCTGCCTGCCACCCCGTGCTGCATCATGGGGTAGCAACAGCCCCTGTCTGCAGGGCGTCCTAGCTCCCTGCAAACAGAGGTTGGTCCCCTCTCTCCACAGTGGGCCCAGGCTTGCTGAGGACAGAGGCTGCTTTGTGGCAGCCTCCCCTCTTCCCCACACTGCTGCCTCTAATAGAGGCAGCGGCATGAGGGGCCAGGGAAACAGGCAGCACTGTAGAGCAGGTGCTGAGAGAAGCCAGTTTTTAAAGTGGCTCCCCCCAGCACCAGCTCCTGCCTGTCCCCTCTTGGTGGGGCAGGTGGGTCTGTGGATCTGGCATGCACAGGTAGCCTGCTTGAAAAGCTGGCTCCCAATGCATATCAGCTCCAGCATGCCCACCTCACCCTCTATGCTGCTGGCTCTCAGCAGCAGCAGCAGCAGCAGCAGCAGCAGCAGCAGCAGCATGGGAGTGTGGAGGGGCAGGCAGATGCAGCATTTGTGGGGAACCTGCTTAAAGTCAGCTCCACATGGACACTGGCTCCTGCTCTCCACCCCCTTGCTTCCTCTGATACAGAGGCAGTAAGGGGGTGAGGAGTGTGTGACGCTGACAGGATTAATTGATATGCCTATGCTTATCGATTAATAGTATAGTTGACTATTTGTTGACATCCCTAGTTCAAACATACAAGGAATGGGCAGTTGCTGCTCCAAAGAGCTTACAGTTTACGTGTAAGAGAAGAGACAGCAGATAGATAGAACAGATGGTAGAGCACTAAGTAACAGCAAGACCATTATGATTAGCGTAATAATCAGCAATCTCAGTATGCCAGTTGCCTAAACATTGTCAAGTGTTATTTAGGCATCCTCTCATAGGTGTCTCTTCAGAAGAGAGATAAATAAATCTCATCCACATTCTTCATAGTGACCTAAATCCTTGTGGATTTTGACATGGGAAAAACTGTAAAGAGGCTTATTAGAAAATTTGACAAATGTGCTAGCAAGGCTGACCCTGCAGATATGATTGGCAGTATGTGAGAGACCATGAAGGGCCATAAAAGAGAAAATAAGTTAATTTGTGCTTGTTCAAGGCAATCAATGTACTGCAGCAAAACCAAGCACCAATGTCACAGTTCAGTAGGCTAGCTAAGTAAGTAACTGGATAAAAAAATGTTTTGTTTTAAAATGTGCACAGGAATTAGCAGCTCAAATGTTAGGAGGGTGAAAGTTCCATCCAAAATGAATAAAGGCCTGACCCTGACATTCTGATAATGGATAATAAAAATACAGGCACCAAGGACCACACAGAGTGAATATAGAGGGCAGAAGGCAGAAATGAACCAGATCAAGGAACTATGTGCAAAGAGCCTGGAATGTCAGAGACAGAATGTTACACTGAATTCACAACTTAACCAGTACAGATGACTAAATAAGAGATCAACATGGAAGAGGAAAAAAAGGCAATTAAAAAGTCAAATGAAGCATATGATTCTGTATCTACTGCCAGTGAGAAATCAGTGAGATGAAAAAGACCACTGAGAACTGAGTTGCAAGTGAGTCAACTGAGAGAACTGTTGGACTGCATGACTAAATGAACTTTGTAGGGATATGTCCGTTATCCTGATGTAGCATTCTGCATGTCTTGACAGCATATCCATTATTTCAAAATACATTTGAAATAACGGGCCTCTTATTCTGGTTTCTTGTAAATGTTGTTGCATGAGGATTAAGGAAGATGCCGGAATAGCAATGTATTTTGAAATTAGCTCTGTGTAGATAGCTCCAAATTTCAAAATATGCTCTTTTGAAATAAGCGACACAATTTGCATAGCTCAAATTGCGTACCTTATTTCAAGGTGAGTGCTACTATATAGATGTACCCTAGGGATTGGGCTATGGGAATTAGACACACATGACATAGTCAGGACTGGGAGCTGGCCAAACCCTAGTGGTTCTTTTGGAGGACTGGATTCTACAGTACCAAAGCCAACCAGAAATATCCTCTTCCTTTTCTATACCTTTACTTCTTCCAAGTCACAGACATCCTTTACTTCTGTTGGTAGTGAGGGGTCCACCCTTTTCTGCATGCTACCTAACAGTACCACTCCCTGGAGTGCTTGATGCATGCTTTCCAACTTTTTATATGGGTCACTAATAGAACAGACGGGGCTGTGTAGCTAGCATCAGCCAAGGTAAGACCTGGGATAATGTCAAAGGACTTTGCTATAAACCAGATGTATCCTAATTGGGAGGGTGAATTCTGCATCCTAGCCAAAACGTTTTCATGTGTCTATAGCCATGAATTTCAGAAATGTTTAATAAGTGGAATCTACAAGTCTTTACACCTGCGTTGACATAGGGGTAAAAATGTGGGTCAGAATCAATGATACACTCAAAAGCTGTGTTGTGGGACTTGGTAAATACTAGAAGATTAACCTCAAAATAAAAGACTCAAATGTGGAAACCAGTAATTGGGCCCAGAAAAAAAATATTTCTTCCCTCGTTGTAGTTATTAACAAATATCTTCCCAAACTGCCATTTGGAACAGCTTATTTCTTCTTTGATACTTTTTCTCTTTTTATCTTCAGCTTATTTAGGAGACTTGTTGCCAATTATAGATGGGAAGTATATGTACTCCTAATATTGTGGATCTACTTAAACCTGTGCTCAGAAACTTTCACAGGGAAAGTCTGGCTATGTTATACATTTAATTGTCTTGGAATGGTGGGATGGTTTCTATGGGTGTGGGGGAGCGGGGTGGGTAGGGTGCTGCTATGATCCAACAGCACTTGCATGCCACCACACTAACTCACTGCAGATGGAACACTGCAGATACCTAGCAACAGGCTGTCACCAATGTTGCACCTGCTGGCCTCTCAGCAAGAATGCTGCCACTGCGTGTTGCCATGACAGCAATAGCAAAAGAACAAGTATATCACGGCTGGGCAGCCTCACAGCAAAAGCACAAAGTTAGCACTCCCAATATCAGTTGTACATCTATTTTTGCAGATTTATAAATCCATAAGTACAGCAAAAAACAAGCTAAACAGCACAAGTATCCAATTATCTGGTGTGTTTCTGCGTGTGCTCTTAAAACACTGGAACTGAGTCTCCGCAGCTGCAGAACCAAGAAATCTCTTAGATGATTCCACCTGTCATGGATCCACTGGGACAAATTCAATAGTGACTAACTTAGTCATGAAGGAATTACTCCCTCTCCCACAATGACTACCTCCAATGTGAAGGTCACACCAACAGAGGCTCCCGTACACATACAAAGCTTTTTTTTTTTCCCCACACAAAAAATTCGCACTCTTGCTAGAAACATTTCAACTCCACCAGAGTCAGTAACAGTGGGGGAATACTAGCGTAAATTATAGAAAGCCTAGCTGGTAAGACTGGCCATGGTATCCCCTAAATGCCTTTGCAGCCCTAGTAGGCCATGTCTTCACTATGCAGAAGATTGGCACTGCTGCAGTCGACCTTCCAGGGTTCAATATAGTGGGTCTTCACAAGAGGGCACCCTCATTGGCATCACTACTCCTGCTCCTCACAAGGAGTAAGGGAAGTTGACTGGAGTGTTTGCTCCCATCAACCTCCCACTTTTGTGGATGGTGCAAAAATGTAATTTAAGATACGTCAACTCCAGCTACGTAATTAAAGTACCTGGAGTTGCGTATCTTAATTTGGCCAAGCCCTAGAGAGTTCAAATTGCCCAGAAGCCCACTACCATCCCATCCCTCTGAACTGGCTAGCAGAGCTAGCCAGAAGTAGAGATTTAGGTAGGCTATCCCATCCCAGCTCATAATCCATTCCCAAAGCCTCACTCCAGGTGGTGCAGCCCCATACTATTCCGCAGTACCCCACTATTGCTGTTACAGCTTCCTTCCTAGTATGCGCTAAATCTGTGCTTCACAAAAGTCATATGGTCCTATTTGTGTCACATAATATAGAATGTAAAACGTATTACTATGAAACCTGCAAATAGTGCAATATAACCAAGTTAATTGGGCTACTGGAACCTTAATTTTTGCATTTCCTAACACTTGGGAATTAACTGTGCAACTAAGTATTGTATCAACATTGATTTTTTAGTTTAATTGCATGTATTTTGGCTTGATGAGATGTTCTAATAAACTCATTTTAATTGTGCGTGCCCTGACGGTATGCTGGTATGCACCTCATTGCTTAATCCATACCGGCTCTGACTTTCTCCACTGCTATCCTTGCCCACTCGTTTAGTTCTTAAACCCTTCCCCCATTTACATCATTAATTCCTCACTGCCTTACTGTGAGCTCAATAGTAGCACCCTGTTCTTTATTGAATCAGTTACTTCAAAACTCTGTTACTTTAGAAAATAATGTAGGCAATAAAAAGAACCTGAAGAAAGGGCAGGCAGAACAGAGTGGGTGTAGAGGGAAGAGAATTATAGTTTAATTTGTGAATGCAAGGTGACCTAGGGCAGGGAGGGACTTTTCAGCACATCTTGGTTCCTGCTCCCTCCCTTAGGCAGCATACCTGGTATGGGGAAACTTCAGTTTTTAAGGACTTTTATTTCTCTGATACTGTAACTAGATTACATCATTGCAATGCCATTACAATGCCAGTTTTGTTAATTTGGGATTAATGACAAGCATTTCTTTACTCTGTTGAAATTGATAGTCCACAAAGCATGTTGCCTCAAGCAGAGTATTCCTGGCTCATATGTCCTATGGGTAAAATAAAAAAGTCCCCAATAAATTCCAATCCCTAGTTAGACAAGTGAATTTAGACAGTGTTACAGTAAAGTGATGATCCAGGATTTTGGTAATATATATT